AGAGTGCAGACTGTCCGTATAGGTGCAAGGTAATGACGATGGCAGCTATGGTTGCAGAGCGCAGACACACATGAAAGATCATGACTTCTCAGCATCGACAGGACAGAATTCAGCTTGGCACGAGATCGGGCGTACCTCAGGTGGAGCACGGCGGTCCGGCGATGTTGGTAGAACGGCGAGATTGTACGACGGCGTATGGAGCACGGGCGGCCGGCGGAGTGGTGGAGCGGCGAGATTGAAGGACCGGGAGATTGGATGCTTCCGTAGAGGGCTCGAAGCCTATTTATGTGGCAAAAGGAGGGCGGTTCATGGGGAGCCCGTGTCCGGGTCCGGCAAGGCCACCCATTAATCGTAATGGAACTCTGTGCAAAGTTTGTGTATCCGAGCAAGTCTCCTCCACGGACTCTAGATCCGATCCGATCACCTTCCAGGCCTCCAACACGCACGGGTCCGGCCGGGATACGTCGCTACAGCCGCCTCTCCCCTTTTGCATGCCGCTGATGAGAGCCGGTAAGAGGAGGAGGCAGAGGGTGAAAACACCTGCAGACTTATGCGGCGTCATCTTAGTATACAGTGTCTTTTTTTGTAATGTATAAAGTGGGATTCGTCACTTAGATTTTAATCAGGCGCGCAGCCAAAAATAATACTGTAGTAATAATCAAATGTGACTAACCTTTCTTCAGTTTGGCCTTGCAAAGTGTGTGCAGATCTTGAAGTAGCAGTTAGGAAAGGAAGCAAGCAATTAACCATGATGTATCTGAAACTTTTTGCAGGCAACCATGGTGTATCTGAAACTGTTACGGCTGACTAGTACACCGTTATCACTTTCAGCAACTTCACCTATGACACCTCTGAACCGTTCAAACGAGCCGCTTGGTCTCTGGTAAGTGGTAACCCAATACATGTATGCTCGGCTTGGCACGTTGCCCTTGAAGTTGAAGGTGCTGCCTAACTCGACGTCATGCATGCTTTGCTGCTCTTGTAGAATCCAATTCATTTTAGCCATTGTGCATCTCTACTCATGTATGAGGAAGAACATTCAGTGACTATGTTACTTTATTGGACTTTATGTTGTTAAGGACATCCTTCAGTATGCTGACGAAAGGAGTTGCACCAATTCCGAGACCGACAAGCAGAAGGATGTGGTATTTCTTGTAATTTTGAGTTGGTGCATCAGAAGGGCCATCAGAAATTATCTTGGGAAATCTAAATGAAGACAGCCAAGTCACCAATGTTAGTGAGGAGGAGCAACAACATAGCTTCATATTTTCTCCACTTGCCTGTGTTTTTTTATACTGATTTATTGTATACAAACTAGTATCCAGTAGTCAATTAATGATAGCACTTGTTTTTTGTGTCCTGCATATTTGTGTGGAGAGGCCAACTGTATGTGTGATTTATGAGCACCAATACAATGCCAGCTTGATTGTCATTACTTTCTCGTAGAGCTCTTATCAGCTGAACATTGCTTCCGATTAGGACTTGACGACGGCACAGGATGGTGTAACAAGACAATGTACTGCGAGAGTATTTCACAAAATCACAATCTATGAAGAAGACTATGCACTACTACCCCTAATAACGATGGCCTAATTATGTTAGTAGCTACACATGTCTGCAATAAATAAGAGAACTCAAGCCTCACGGTGCGTTGAGCTTGTAGTTGTCACTCTCGATGGTTTCATTGACCTTATACATATCGACCACTTAATCTGTTTGATTCATTTTGGTTCATTGACCTCATACCTTGTTATTGATTTGAATTAACAGTGTGAGTTGTATATTATTTGTAATCATTATAGGTATTATGTTATGGGTCACTCAATTTGAAGACCATAATTTAATTACCCCGTTGCAACACATGTGCTCCTTTCCTAGTAGTATTCTGAAGAGATGTACTCCCATCTATTATCATTCCTATAAGACCAAATGTAGAGTTGTCTATTATTTGGAACACTCAATTCACAGAGGAAGAAATCAACGTAAATGGGGTTTTTTTTGCAACCTGAGAGTTGATTTGTTAGAATGGGACATGAAGTTTGTGAGCACGAGCTCACATATACCATTTGGAACAGTAAGAAAAATTTGTAAAAAATAAAAAAAATCTGAATTTTTTTAGCAACAAACATCGATGTATATTTCACATGCGTGCAAATTTTCGCGATGGAATGACATTCGTGGAGACCTGGGGAAAAACAATGCTCCAAAACATTTTTTAAGAATAACAAACCCGAGCTTTAATAATCAATCATAGAGTTTACGTAGCCCGGGGGCTCAAGCAACTAGACATGCCTACCTGGTGATAAGACTAGAGCTTTTTCTATATTGTGAGCATCTACATTTGACCCACGACGTTCATGGCGGAAGAGGGTTACCCCTGCACCATCTTTCATAGCTCTATTTTCCTTGATGATCAGTGCATCTTGACCTCCTTCTCCCTTAGCCCATAAGATAAGGAAGCCAGAGACATGAAGGACTCCCCTCCACCAGCATAGTCGACTAGGTCCATGTAACTCTAGGGGCCCCGATATCTCATATAAGCCGGGGTCGAGCTAGTCGATAGAAAACATACAATCCCTTGAGTAATACATGTACTTTCTACACCGTAACACAATAGGGTTTTACCTTGTAAGAAGGGCCTGAACCTGGGTAAATCTGTCTCATGTTTCCCCCCTGATTTACTCACCTCACTAGGATACCCTATTGAGGGATCTGTGAACTTAGTGATCAGATGGGATCGCTAGTTGACGACGACACGATCTACACGTCAGGTCAAATCTTCTTTTTCGGCGCCATGACCTTTGTCGCCGACTCGACCGGTCGCTTGGGCCAAGTTGAGAGCTGCACCCTAGGCTGGATTGTTCAATTAAGCAATCTAGAGTACGTCGCGGATTCACGCGGCGAGCTCCTTCTCCAAGGTCTGACGTCATTCCAGGCCCAAGAGCAGCATGCCAAAAAATTGATCTGCTCACAACCCACTTAATCGCCAACGTTGAAGATCTCACCAACATCCTCGAGGGGAATGAGGAGTTAGCCCACCATGAGCCGTGGTGCCTCTTTGCACGTGGCAGGCGACCTCGGTCCAGTCCTGCTATGTAGTAGACACGCTAGATCCAAGCCAGGAGGAAAGCGACGAGGTGTCAGAATTTAGCGATAGGGATATTGAAGCACTTGATGGAGCGATCCTAGAAGATGAGGAGCAAGACGAAGTCCGGATGAAAGCCTTGTCGGCTCTCGTCAAGGTTTCCAAGGAGAAGAGACGCTTGGAGAGGAGGGCGGCGGGCCTGGACGCAGCGAGGAGCTGTTCCGGTTTTGCCATCCCATCGGAAAGACCATGCCGGCAGAGGACAAGGCCTCCCTAGCCATGGAAAGTAGACGAGTGAAAGAGGCGCTCGTGAACGCCATTGATCCAGGAGGGCCCAGAGTCCTATCACACTCCAGCTAAGGATATACAGGTAGCGGCGGGAGCCCTGGTCATGACACAGTTCCCAAAAAGGGCATCCGGACAAGCGGAGGTTCAAGCAAGAAGGGATGGAATATCTGAAGACGGCGATGATCCAGCAGGATGGCCATGTAAGAGTCACATCAGGACAACCGGTGACACGAATAGCACATCATCATGCCAAACTAAGAAGGGATCTTGATGTACGAGATCGTCTGCTACAAGTTCGCATCCAGCTTTAAGATAAACACGATGGACAAGTACAACGGAAGCGGACCCTGAGATTTTGGGCAACAAATTACCTCCTCGCATTCCAGGTGGCTAATGGTGATGATTGGCACACCGTCGGACTCTTACCCCTTATGTTAAAGGGATCAAACATGTGCTTGGTTAACACCGCCAGGTCGATCGGTGGTGCTTTTTGTTGTGACAGACAATTTTGCTGCGACCGGTGACATTTTTTGCTCGAACGGGTGACTGATTTTGCTAGTGATCCGCAACATTGCTGCTTTTTTCTTTGACAGGCGACAATTTTTGCTGGAGGAATCCGCAACGGTGGCGGTTTTTCCCTGCGAGAAGTTTTACTGCAAAGCGCCTGAGCCACTGCTACGTCATGGGGGATGTTGTAACCAGCTGCAAGCGACAAGCTGAGATGCTGCAACCAGCACAGCTGCAAGCTGCACAGGTTAAGCATCAGCACAACGTCCAGCTGCACACGACGAGGTTCTGCAAGGGGCAGCAAGCAGAGGGTTGCAGGGACAGGCCGAGATGCTGCAACCAGCACAGGCCAAGCTGGAATCGGCACAACACCCAGCTGCAACCAGACGAGGTTCAGCAGGCGTCCAAGGTTTGGGAAGGGTCAGCAGCGCTATCAGTAGCCTCTCACTCAAGCACAACGCTAACAAAATGGTGTGAAAGGGGGAAAAGATCTGATGAGCTCCGTCCTAACAACTAGGATGACATTTCACCATCTCTATTTACTCTCTCTGGGAGGATGAGAATCCTTTTCAAGTTACACTGACAGGATTTACAGGTAACCCAGTATATTAGTTTCACTCAGTACAGAGAATAGGAATTTCAGAAAGTATAATCCTGAAACCCAAATAGCAACATGCGAGTGGTCATAAGTAGATAAATACTCCCTTTGACTAATAAGGATAGGTTATTGCTAAAACATGAGTAAACAGTTTTTAATAACGATAGCATTAAAAGTACCGATTGCAGGATTACATGCGGTAGGTAAAGAGTCAAGGATGACACAAACAAATAACATCATTCGGTCATTACATAGTCTTAACAAATAAAGTGAGGACTCCAGCAACAGCAGCATGAGCAGCAACGCCTCCCTCCTCAGCACATAGAACCACAGCCTAGCAACTACAAAAATTCCTTAATAAATCCCAAATTGTCCACGACCACGACTTTAAAGTAGAACCCCAGCAGACCATTTATCACTTGAACCCCCCCACCCACAGACAAGAAAGTTTTGGTGATACTTCAACAAAAACAAAGCCCTGTCAGGACCCCCTTACCATATGTTCTCCACAGCCCGCCCCGCTCACAGAAGGTCGGCAACGTTGGCTGGGAGCTCTTCAATCACCACGTTGTAGAACTTCTGGATGTCAAACAGCATCCTCTCATCTTCACGGGTCACAAAGTTGATGGCCACACCCTTCCTCCCGAACCGACCACTACGACCGATGCGATGCAGGTAGTTCTCTGGCTGGGTCGGGAGGTCATAGTTGATGACCAGGGACACTTGCTGGACATCAATACCACGCGCAAGCAGGTCAGTGGTGATGAGAACACGTGAAGAACCTGATCTGAACTCCCTCATGATGATGTCCCTAGTGTTCTGGTCCATGTCTCCGTGAGTGGCGGAGACGGTGTGGTCCCTGCCCCTCATCTTGTCGGTGAGCCAGTCCACCTTGCGGCGGGTGTTCACAAAGATGACACTCTGGGTGATGGCAAGAGTCTCGTACAGGTCACACAGTGTGTCAAGCTTCCACTCTTCCTTCTCCACATTGACATAGAACTGCTTGATACCCTCAAGGGTGAGCTCATCCCTCTTGACAAGGATCCTCACTGGCTTGTTCATGAACTTGCGGGTAATCTCAAGGGCTTCAGGGGGCATGGTAGCAGAGAAGACACCAACTTGAATCTTCCCTGGGAGCAGCTGGAAGATGTCATAAATCTGCAAATATAACAAAATGTGGATCAATACCCACAGCTTATAAAATATGAAACAGAAATTTGAACAAAAGTAACAACAACATCAAGTGCCATACTAAGTAAATGTAAGAATGGATGAGCTTAGACAATGAAATTACACAAACAGATCATATGCAGCTCTTTAAACTTAACATGATTTATAACTTAGAACTTGCCAGACTTAGTTCTGATTAGTGATTAGTGATGATGCCTTAGATAGTCTACTAAGAGAACATTCACTTAAATTAGTTGCAATGATGGTGTCAGATCAATAAACTGTGAAGTATACCAGATGCAAAATATTACAGATGAAGAACGTAATTGTTAACCTGATCCTTGAAACCACGGGAAAGCATCTCATCAGCTTCATCGAGGACAAACATCTTGATGTTGTCAGGGCGCAGAGACTGCCTACGGAGCATGTCAAACACACGCCCAGGCGTACCAACAACGACATGCACTCCACTTGCAAGAATCCTTTGGTCCTCACGAACTGAAGTTCCTCCAACACAGGCATGAACCTTCACACCCAAGTAGTCACCAAGTGCACGCATGACCTTCTCAATTTGCTGTGCAAGCTCACGGGTGGGAGCAAGGACCAAGGCCTGGCACTCAACCAAACCATAGTCAAGCTGTTGGAGGATTCCAGAACAGAAAGTAGCAGTCTTTCCTGTTCCAGATTGTGCTTGCTGGATAACATCAAGGCCCTTGCAGAAAGGAACGATTCCCCTTTGCTGGATGGCAGAAGGCTTCTCAAAACCTGTAGGCAGAACAAACAATGTTCATGAGAGATGAAGAATACCAATGAAGTAGGACAATACAATAAAACACAACAGGCACAGTACCATAAGCATAAATTCCCCTCAGGAGGTTCTCTTGGAGACCCATGTCATCAAAGCTCTCGTGAACTTCATCATAAGAGGTGAAGAACTCCTCAGTCTCACCTTGGTTCCTGTATAAGATTTAAGGAGTATAGGTAAGAAGGTAATACACAAATCAAACAGCAAAAACAGGGTTGCAACTTGGTTAAATGCCAAGCAGCTCATAACAATGAGCAGCCATATAAAACAAAAGAATGTTCAGATTACTTACAGCAGCTCCTGCATCTTAGAATCATAGTTCTTAGCGTCAAACTGGGAACCTTCCGGTGCCATTCCTGCCATGGCTGTAGCAGAAATAACATATGTTAAGATCAATCAAGCAATGTGAAAAGAGGTGCAACAAAACATTTAGAAGCTTAATTAACTGGTAACCAGAAAATACATTGTAGTGTATGAAGATAGCATCAACAAGATGGTCAAGACAAACAAAAACATCTGGTACTACCTCCACATAACTCATTCTGTGTATGGACAAGTCTACACAGAACCCAGTTAATACCATTGAATCCATTGCAAACATATACCAGCCAGACAAGATTTCATATGCATCACACGAGACACAACTCAAAAACTTGCCCTTGACACTTGCTTTCAGATTGTCAAGAGAGCAAACGGCAAAAATAACTAGATGCACCTGATTCCTTTGTGCTCAATATAACTAGACAGAGCTTGCCCACTACAACTGTCCTCGCAGCAATCACGCAAAATTTCAGCATACAGCCACCACTAGCACACAAGCTCATCCAGCCAACTGAGCATCAAAACACAGGGCGCCGCCGCCAAGTAGAGCTACATACAAGTCCAAAGCAGCTACCTACACAAGCTTTTCTCACAGCGGAATAACAAATCCCCAACAAAACAGCTAAAGCGCATCGCGACCAAATAAATAGAACCCTGAATAACAAGAACACATCATCAGCCGAAACAGCGAAAGCTACCGGTCCTATCGGCTGCACGGAACCCGTATCGGCGTCGACAAACAGCTTAACCCTAAAACCGCGGACTCCCGCAGTAGAAAACCTAGCTTCACCCGCCGAACCGACGCAGATCCAGCCGCACAGCGACCCAGATCCGCCAAACCCGCCGAAAAGCAGCCGCACGCACAGATCGGCCCGGCGCGGCGGCGGCGGCGGCGAAGCGAAGCGAAGCGAGACACGGCACCGGCGGGGGGAAGAGGGAGGGAGAGGGGGTTGGACCTGAAGCGTCGGGGAGGAGGTGCCGGGGATCGCCTGAGGGTCTGGTCGCGGTGAATCCGAGATCAGGTCTCGGATTCGGCGGCGTGGGAGCGGAGGCGATGAGGGGATTGGCAGGAGAGAGAAAAACAGAGGGTTTGGGCGGCGGCGGGGAGAGCCGCCTTTTAAGGGGTCCCCGGAGCGAGGCCAGGACGGGAGGGGGTAGGGTTTCTGCCCCCCCTCACCGGGCCGCTCATGGGCTCCTCCCTGCGGCCTGCCACGGCCCGTGCCGCTCTAGGTAGGAGGTCGCCGCGTCTGTCTGTCTTCTTTGTTTTCTCTTCATTTTTTAATTATTATCCTCCTCCCTTTTTTAATAAGCATTTTTTTCCTTTTGTTACGTCCTTCGTTTGGTGTTTTTTGTGCAATATATTATGCATAAAATTATAAATCATCATTTTATTTCTCTTGATTTTTAACACGTGTACCACCGCCGAGTCTGTGCGCAGATATTAAACAAGGTACAACGGCGATCTCTTTTTTCCTTTAGGGGACAAAAATGGTGATCTGATCGTGTGGACTTAAGAGGCTGATGCTTTAAGAATCTAATCTACAAAGGGGGCAACGGCAATGGCAAGCAGGCATGGTCCTCGTCCAGCTTTCCCTATTCTTTATCAAGAAAAAAGTCCAGCTCTTTTCCATGGGCATGGCACAGCCGCACATACCCCTCCCTTGCCTTTTTTTTTTTTTTTGCAAAACCCTTGCTATCTTCTTATTAAGCAGCAAAATGGCCAAGAAAATCATAGTTTGGAACGCGTAAATATCCCGCAAACTTTACAAACAGAGAAGAAAATGTCGATTATGCACGTTGGGGAGAGGGCCACCATGCTTGGACGCAAGAGCAACAATCTCAACAATTTTATTCTATTCGGTGCAAAGCGTTGAGTACACCAGCCTCAAATCCCAATATGAAATATCAACATTGTTTTAATTTACATAAAGAAGAAACAAACGGCGACTATAAATAAATATCAGTTATACAAATTTACATGAGCAACGGCCTGGTTGCTGAAGCAGCTTTGCTCCTTATTATTACAGTGGGAGGCAAAGAAATGGCTCCAGCTTATTGCTATTATCACATGACACTAATAATGAAGGCCACCCAATTCTGGGAGGACAATGTAATGTACTTACTATTCCCAGCTGCAAATTGGCAGAGGGACCATGTCAACCACCAGCCATCCATGCCTCTTCATGGGCTCAGGCAATGCTTTCCCGGCTCGGTGTAGTTCACCTCCAGCTGCTCAACCTTCTCAAACTTGAACCCGCGGATCCTCGTCTCTTCTTTCTCCGAGGTGTCCCTGTGGTCGACGTGCTGGATAGTCCAGCCTTTGTTTTCCACATGACCGGTGACTTTCACCTGCGAACAAGCATGGCAACAAAGACTCGATCATTTAGATGACGGTAACCACGGAGATAGATTCGGTAGAGTTTTCTAGCTTCACGGTGTATGTCCGCCTTACCTCTGCTTCGTCGACGGAGTTGACAATAAGAGCGCCGTCCAAGGAAAGACCGTCGATGACGACGTTCCGGCCATTGATGACCAGAACCGATCTCTGAGAAACTGAAGAGTTGCCGTGCAGCCTTTGCTTGACGTCCTTGAACGTAAGACCCCACCTCGGGCTCCAGGCCACGCGTGGCCAGACCTCTACCTCTTGACCATTGAAAGTGCTGGCTACAGGGTCAGATATGTGTGCACCGGCCTGGAAAAAGAAAGGGTGTGGAAAGGAGCTTGTTGAGCTGGAACGCAAACAAGCTGACAAGGAGCAAGTGCCTGGCAGTGTCATCACCTTTCTTAAAATAAGGCTGTTTGCCCTGTAAATTGCCATCTCTCCTGAGGTTGCACTATGAAAAGGATTACCTTTTGGAACCTACAAAAAGGTGTATCAGAGACTGCTTAGAAGTCAAACTACAACTCTTGCACGATATCTGTATAATAAATGGCAACCTCTTGCAAACTTTAAACTGGGGATAGTGACATAAATGTGCATATGAAATACAGATGGCACCATCAAAGGGTGAAGAGCAACTTTAGTTCTCAACGTGTCGCAGCGAGACAATATCGATACTGACAACCAACATGGCCATCGAGATGCATACTTTAACCAGGATCATAATTCATCAATGCAAGCAGATAAACTCAGAGCAAGTCTTCATCCTATCAGTCATAAATGCTTCATGTGCAAGTTCAAAAGTGCAGAGAAACTTTGGTTCTCAGAGTGTCACAATAAAGCAAATTTAATACTGTCAACTAACATGTCTGTTGGCATACACACTTCAACCTCGATCATAATTCATCAACTGGGCATAGACTAAGAGCAAACCCAGAAACACTCTTCTTACCAAGCATAAATTCTTCATATGCAAGTTCAAAAGTACAGATGCAACACGCAGTATATAAATTTCAGTGTAAGGAAGGGCCAAAAATCATACTTTAGCTGCATCTTCAGGATTGTTCTTTACAGGAGCATATGCAAGCCAAGCATCCATCACCTACATTAAAAATGGCAAAGAATGAAGGTAAGGGATGTGAAACATGCACCAAGAGAGAAAACCTTTTTTCTTTTGCATCTGAATTATAACCAGATTACTAACATGATCAATGTAAGGACCATAGTATGATGAGAAGATATGTTGTTTCTTACCGTAAACCCAACTTTTGCCGTTGGAGGTAGTGTTTTCGGATAGTCTTGCATCATGCACTCAAGACGAGTGGAGGATTTAAATGCTGTCTTGGTAGAGTCAGTATACCTAAATTAATAAAATGACAAAAGTATAATAAAGTTAGTATAAGATACACAAAGTTGTGTCAACAAAACTCACAATCACATCGGGACATATGAACGGCATTAAGACTAGTATACTGTGCTTGTGAGATTAGTTATAAACTTTTAATCAATGATGCATCTACAAAGATACTACAAAAACACATGTTATCTTTATGTACACTATTGAAGTCAACACCAACAAAAAGAACTATTTTATAAAAAGAGCTGCATAAAGTAAAATTAAGAAAGAACATTCGCCAATAAATTGGGTTAAAGAAAGAAAGAGCAAAACCAAGTGCAAGTTCATTCTCCCAACTTAAATGACCACTGAGAGAAACAACTTATACCACTAAATGGAAATTGGACACGTACTTGTCGCCCTAATAGCATTGTAAAATACATCCTTGGAGGCAGCACATAGCAGCATACTTACTTTGGATTTACAAATTCAGAAATGGCGCCATGTGTTTTCTTGAGCTCCTCAATGTATGGTCCAAGCTCGAGTATCAGCTGCAAAAGGGCGGCATAAAGTTAGCATTACAAAAAGGTGAAGCTCCAAGACAATATGCATTCTAAAACTGACAACAAAGTATTGATACTAGACTAAAAGATCACACTGATGATATTAAATAAACAGGCCATGTTAAGCACCAAATTTTGAGTGTTTAAGACCTGTTGAAGAAAAGGATCATTTGGAAGTTGACACATCCCTACTGTTCTAATATATCTGTTTGCAATATTACCTGGTTTATATTTCCAGGGTATGGAGAATAGCCTGTTTCACAATTTGCGTCTCCATCAGGATGCCCAGTTGCACGAAGGAGTGGATCAAGCTGATTGTACTCCACATTGATCACCATTGTTCTACCTACATATAAGAACGGATCCAAGTCAAATTTGACAGAACATAAATACACATGAAAATGCATTCTTCCATCAGAATTGATATGTTAGATGGCAGCACAGAACAAGCTGAAGAATAGGGATCATATAGATATTTTGGACAAATATAACGATACTTTTTGTTGATTCCAGCAGTACTGATATAATCTGTAATCACTATTGATTCATAATATTATTGACCCAGTTGTCAGAAAAGCATCAAAGTTTCCACATATGTTTACCCATTAAATATGGTGAAAGCCAGTAAAAAAATGGTGAAAGTGGCAACTTTACCATCAACATGAGTAAGTTTGGTTATTCCACCAATGGCTTCCTTTGCCTTTCGAGGAACTGCAAGAGAATTAACATTGTAGCCCTTGGTGGCACTGACACCTAATGCTGATGGTATTGCCTACAAAAAGATGGTAGAACTAAGTTCCTGGCTCTCTACAGTATTCCTAATTATAATACAGTAGAAAAAGGCAGTGTACAAACATTAAAGAGCAATCCATTTGTGTCCTGGAAAAAGAGAACCCATCTCCGTCCTGTATTCTTCCTGTCAATAGAATGTGAAGTATTATAAAAAAAAGATCCTAATGTTTTCTTGTGCAGGGTTGAAGTTTGATTGATTACTTTACTAAACTATTTCAAATGAATCAATGATAACAGTTACGAGTAATTGCCTTCAAAAAGGCAACTTGTCTCATTCAGAAAGTTTGTTCAACGAAAAAATGCATCCAGTTCTTGAACCAACAGGCATACCATTGCTCGAGTAATCCACTTGAATAAAGAAGAGAATGAACATCTCCATGCCCATGTGGCTTTGTCTGCCGAATCACAAAACTAGAAGTAAGAGAAGTGCAAACTCGAGAAGATGAAAACAACAATAATACATTTTAAACCCCAGTATAAGCGATCATATGAAATTAGCAACCTGAATCTTGTACTTGTCATTTGGATCTAATGCAAGCCTTGCATCGTTGTCAGCTAGACATGCCACTTTTTCCTAAAACAAATAAGCATTAGTCAGCACCAACAGTAACAGCTGTGTATGTTTTTGGCCCCTAAGAAGCTCATGGAAGAAAAGACCACCTGCTTTAGAATTTTCACTTGTGATGGTTCCATTCCAAAATACGAGTTTGATTCCAAAAGCTTGATGGTCAGTGCATTCGTATCATCGGAAGTCATAATAGCAAATGGGATCTTCGTATGGCATTCGCCTGCATACTCAAAGAATGAAAAATTAATCAATTAAAGAAATGTCTGGATTTTCTTCAGGCCCGAAATTCGAGAATTTTGAAATAATTAAAATAAACAGTTAAAATCATGCTGGATGAGCCATTCACAAGAAACCATAATATACGTTTATCCAACATGTTGTCTAAAGCTCTATCAGGTTGTGAAAAGGAGAGGTAGAATTGCATTCTATCAATGTGCAGACTGAATGTAGAAACCAGAGACCAAACAAAACTGGTTTAACTTATCTGGTTCAGGTCTTTAATTTGGCCTAGGTTCATCTTGGTCTAGTCTATATAAGTAAATAATACTTCCTCCGATCCAAAATAAGGGTTAGCTCAAAACTGCGACACTTATTATGGATCGGAGGCAGCATGAAATTAGCAGTACCAATCCAATGATGTACCTCAGCCTAACATAATAAGTGATGTATATTTGAACAACATCCCTTTTTTTACATTCAAGCTACTTCTACGGGCTCAAGTCAGCCTATTCGAGCAGCCACACCAACCAACAGAAACCATAGTAATGAAAACAATACAAAGATCATCGTTCTACAGAATGGTAGTTCATTTCAGGAAAATGTTAAACTAAAGCGAAAGGATCAACAGTGACAAGTATCATAGGAAGTATACGAAGTATTGGTGAGAAAACTAATCAACAATGGCAAGGATCATAGTCTACATACCCTCCATTTTGCAGCTCGCCTCTTGTAAAGCCAGAATAGACTCTATGTAATGTTGAAGAAAACATTTCCCAGTGGTTGTTTCCCTGGGGAGTGCTACCTGTGCAATGAAATGGTTAACAAAATGGTACTTTCAGAAGTTTGCTTGATGTCAATGTCAACCAACAGAATAACAGATTTCCATAGGGAATATGTTACATGTTCAAATTGTAATTACAGGATGAAACAAGACCTACACAAATCACCTGATGTACAGTCCAAAAGCAAAAAGTTCTGTGTTTGGCACGATGTGCAATACTGCTATCCAACAAATGATAAAAATGTGCTGTGGTACATAGTGTGTGAAAGTGGAAATATTGTAATAAAATAACACAATCAGTACCACAGCTGCATGACGGCAAAACAATATATCTGCTAAGAACACCCACATCCCACTTTTTTCTCTAAATTAAGTGCCAAGATGGATAAATCAGATTTCTCTACATACACTTATGTAAGTTTTTTCTACCACATCCCATAGCACCAATGCCAAGTTCTTTCAGTTTTGTCATTTAAATTACAATTTCATATAGATAAGCTAATTAAAAGTAATTTATTTGGCGTAGCATTGATGCTAAGCTTTTTTTCTTTTCTCTTAGCACCTATTCTTGCATCCCTTAGCATTGGTGCTAGCCAGTTTCTCTGTCTTTAGCGTCTGCTTAACACCTAGGGAAATGGATGCTCTAAAGCATGATTCTGAAGAGCTAATTGATGTATATACCTGCTACCCTTGCAAATCATGAATACAAAATTTCAACTGTGATACATTAACATGACAGTCTTTCCAATTCTTGGCTGTAAGTATACTATCAGGAACTCAAGCCACATTACCTTAATTCCTTTGTAACCAAGTCTTTCACCAAGACCACCAGCTACAAGAACAAATGCAGCATTGCGTGCTTCTTTTACCCCAGCTGCTTCCAGTGAAACAAAATTGTCATCACCAAACGTCAATACTTCCCCCGAGGGAACCTAAAAATACAGTTCATCTGTTAACACCATGTACTTCGTTCAGATAATAAGGAGGCAAATCAGTACGCCATGGTTCAGAGCCGGAAAGAAAAGGAGCAACTGAGTATTCGGAATTGAAAAATTACATGGCATACAACACAAGAAAGTGTGTATGAAGACCCCAACAAATCCATGAGAAAATGGTGCATGGCAAGACTTACAGAAGGTGCGAAACCATCATATGGATTTTGTCCTGCCTTGGACTCTGCTAAAAGCTTTTTGGCATTCTGGATGTATGCTGCCAGCCCACCAGGATAGCTTGAGTTAAGTCGGCAAACCTAGGCAATGGAAACTTTTAGCAGGAAAAGAACAACAATCTTTGTTTTTGTGCCAGTTCTGCTTATGAAATTCGCTGACTTCCAACAGAAGGCTAGTAACAGACAAAGTTCACAGGTGCCTCTGATATTAAAGCTTCTCACAACAAAGTAACTATATCTTTTGGTAGGTAGTGAGTAGATATTCCATGGGTCCATGATAAGTATGCACGTCCATGTAACTGAAGGGGACGGAATACTTCATGGACATACAACAAAGACACACACCTGGTCAAAGAAGCTTTTCTTCTTGTCGTCGTCGACACCGGGCTCTGGCCAGTGTTCAAACAAGTGCCCCTGTCCTTCATTCAGCAGCATCTTTGCAAGCTCAACCTAGAATCACCCAGGAGGCAAAAAGAAAAGGTATTAAAGAGAAGAAGACAAACCCAAACAATGCGCATAATCCATGGCGGCTCGGGATCAAGTTTTTAGGCACAAAATCGAAGTGTGCAATGCACTGCCCGTCAAGTCAATGTTCAGATTCGGTAGTGCAGGATGAAGTACAGCAAGGACAAAACCGCACTTTGTTAAGAGACCTTTTAACTTGCAAGGAGTGGGCAACAGCAAGCCATCACCATCACCACGTGAGGGAACTAGGCCGAGGTAGTTGGCCGTACCGGCCAGCGCTAAATTATAAGATAATGCTGCGCCGAATCCTAAGAAATTCCGCAAACTCCGCCGCCCAAAGCATTACGCAACTCACAATGTTTGTTTTAACTTTTATAAGTATGCGCGATAGCAGTCCAGAAGAAAAACTGAATTATTAGGAACGAACGGCTACAGGATATGCAGATATGCTACTAGTAGTACTAGTACGAATGACTGCTACAAGATGCGGCGGGGTGAGATGATTAGTCACCTGGTCGTGGGAGAGGAGGTGCAGGTTCCGGCGCAGCGCGGGGCAGGGCCCGGCCCACTCGCCGCCGGCGGGGGAGATCCCGAGCGCGGCGACGCCGTCCGCCGCCGCGTGGACGCCGGAAGCCATCGCGCGGGGAGGAGGAGGCAGATGGAGATGCGGTGGTGCGTTCCCGTTGGAAGGAGAAGAGGAGAGTCACGGCTCACGGGGAAGCAAAACCGTTTGATGCTCCGCTGCGGTGGCGTCGGTTCCGTCGGAAAGATCGCGACTTTTATTCAAGAGATAGAGAGAGATAGAGATGGAGAGAGAGAGAGGGAGGGAGGGAGGCGGCCTCCTCCCCGATTTGATGATTGGATGGGATGGGTGGATGGGGTGGGGCGGGGCCGGGGTGTCAGCGGGCGTGGACTCCGGAGTCAGTGTGCTGGGTTCGACGGGACGCGACGTCTCCGGGTGTGGACGGCGGCGGCGTGGAGGCTGATTTCTCCAAGAATATGCTGCGGTGCGGTGGCGTCGGTGCTGTGATTTGTCTGATTGGTCGGGCCGGGCCTGAAGAAGTCACGGGCGAGTGAGGCCAACTCCAGCGCACGACCAGGCAAAATGAACAAACTCCATGACTAGCGTGCGACGGTTTGAACCAATATTAGAGCAACTCCGATGAGGAGAGACGGCGCATTTGTCCGCTTTTTATACGTTTAGGTCGGTCGCCCGCCCGTCGTCCGCCCAGTTTTGTATTTGGGTCGGCAATGCGCCCAACGCGCCGATCCATTTCACATCCGCATTCAACTTTTAAATAAAAAAGGCCCGCGGCCGATCATGCCAGTGGCCATGTCTCATGCCGGCACCATGTCAGCGCCGGCATAGAATGCCGACTTCAGAAAACACCACAGTTCATGCTGGCGCACTTGCCAGCCGGCCGGCACACATACCAGCACACAAAAAATGATGGGACTTGAGTTCGACCACGCCATCACGGCTCCCGTGGTCATGCCGGCACACCTGCCGGCATACAAAAAAGATGGCCCCTCGACGTCATAGATCACTCGTCGTCGAACTTGAGCATGTCGGCCTGCATCTTCTCGAACCACGGCCTCTTCCTTGGCGACAAGGCATTGAGATCCACCTTCATGATCTCCACCCCGGTCATCATGCTTGCAAGAGCCACTTCTTTCGCCTTTGTCTTGGCGTTGGCGGCCTCAATCTCTAGCATCTTGGCTTGCTTCTCCGCCTCGAGCTCGAACATCTTGGCTTGCTTCTCGGCGTCAAGATCAAGTCTCCTCCTTTGGATCTCCATGAAAGCATCCATTTTGCTTCGCCTTGAAACGCCGACGCTCCTCCTCTCTTGAGTCATTCTTATTCATCATGCCGTCCACGCTTGCGATCAAGGCGTTGGTGGCCGCATCTCGCTTGTCCTCCTTCTTGGAGTTGGTCTTCCTCCGCGGTCGTGCCGGCTCGCCCTCCCCAACATCCTCCACGGCGCCCTTCCCCCACGTGCCTTGAGCGCGGCATATTGTGCCTTGAACTTCTCTTCGCCCTTGATGACCTGATAGCAATGGGAGAGGTTGAAGCACTTGCCATTGTGTTGAACCTTGAATGCCTCCAAAGCTTGAAATGCCTATAAAATGTTTCCATGCAAGCATATGGGCAAGTGATAGCAAAATGAAGACGTAAAAGGATGATCTTGATGGCACAAAAGAGGGCGGCTTGCTTGCTATCATACCATGTCTTGCACGCCGATGCCGCTCACGGGGCGAGCCTTGACGCTCTTAAGGGTGGCGCAAAACTTGTTGCACTCTTGTTGGATCACCCTCCACCGCTTGGAAATAGAGACCCACCCGCGCGTGCTCACAGGTAGGGTGGAAACTTCTTGCACTCATGAAACTCGTGGTGCACACGAGTCCAAAAGGTTGAATGCTTTTGCTCGGAGCTCGTCTTTGGGTCTTGTCCAATGTCTCGCCAACACTCGCAAAGAAGCTTGTCCTCAGCAGCTGTGTACGCCTTCGTGCGCTTGCTCTTGCGCTTCGGCTTAGGACCGGCGGTTTGGTTGGTGAGCTCATCCTCGAACAAAGACTCCACTTCGACGTCGCACTCATCCTCTTCCTCTAGCCCATAGTCGTCCGAGAACTCATGGTCGAGGGGGAAGCCGTCCTGGTCGATGCCGACCTGATCACGCATGAAGGCCGCCTGATCGGGATCATAGCCAGCGGCCGGCGTGAACGCCCCGCGACCGTCCTGGCTTTGCGTCTCCTCGGGATCGTAGCCAGCGCCCGGCGCACCACCCTCGAAGATGAGGTGTTGCATGTAGTCCTCGTCGACGGCGGGCGACATTTCCTCGAACAGGTTACGGGCATTCAGGAGACCGCCGGCCGGCGTCTGTCGCGCGCGTTTCCTCATGCCGCCGGACGACGACGAGCCACCGACCACTGGGGTGGCGTTGAGGTCGATGGGCGCGGGCGCGGGCGTGGAAGGAGCGACCATGCTCATGTTGGGTGAGCACTCCCCGGAGAGGCGGGAGGCCTGCGGGTAGACGTGGAAGCCGGGGACCGGGTTGCAAGCCGATGCGCGGGGTCAGTCGGGCATCACCATCCGAGGAAACGCCGACGAGCCGGTGCTGGCCGCGACGATGGCGGCTTGGACGAGGTTGTGCTGGCTAGGGTTTACCCCAAGCATGTAGAGCGCCTCCCTCGTTGCCGCGGCAACACAGGCGTTGGTGAACTCCTGTTGCGCGGCGGTGGCCTGCGCAGCAGCCTCATCCCTCGCGTCCGCGGTGTGCCTCCGGCCCTTCCTCTTGGCCGACTCCCTTGCCCGTTGTTTGGGCGTCAGCGCCTTCTTCGGCTTGGTCACCGCGGCGGTCTTGCGCGGGGCACGGGGCTTGAGTTTCCCAGAGGAGGCGACGGCGCCGGACGAGGCGAGGAAGGCGAGGCCGTCGGCGGCGTCGAGGTCGAGGTCGATGGCGTCCTCCATGGCCGGTTGGAGGGCGGGGGCGCGCGCGGGCGAGAGCGTTTTTGGGAAAATGGGGGGAAATGGTGGTGGCTGCCACCGACAGGCGGGCCCGGGGAGAGGAGTAGGCGCGCGCGCGTCCGTTTCGTGTCCGCGCAAAATTGGGCCTGGAATGGGTCACCCGCAGACGAAAAACGGACGCAGGCGAACTATAAGTGCATCTAGTGCCCCTTAGTGATTTTGGTGTATTGAAGACTTATAGGTTAAGGGACTAATGCGTGTGTGAGTGTACACAGGTCTATAAGTCTATGAGGAGTTTGATATTTACAGGAAAAGTCGACCCCTAAAAATGAACATCTTCGACTGAAGATTTTGGTATTTCTGAATACTTTCATGAAGACTTTGAAAGTGAAGAAATTGGTGTGTCTGTGAAGACTTGATATTCATGCGAGGAATATGAAGCTTGAAGACTTTCGTTTTCATAGTTTTGTTTTTCTCTTTCTTGAGTCATAGGAAACACCGTACTGTTAAAGGGGGTCGAGGAAATACTGAGGAAAAATTTCCATGTGATGCTCAACTCAAAATCCTACACCTACCAATCCCTTCGAGTGAAGCCATTGGAAATCTCATACAGTTCAGTCAATTTTTTCAGTGACAGAGATGAAGTTCTTCTGGTCTCTGAGGAATTTGTCCTGACTGAGGAGTTAGGAATTCGCCAGTGCGGATTGCCTACACAATGAGGAACATGATAGCCCTGAGAATTTTGCTACTCAAAATTCCAACCGTTGCTGTGCTATACGCCAGCTGTCCCAAAATATCTATCCACCTAATGGTCATATCATTGAAGGGCATTTATGTCTTATCATGTCGGGCTGCTCCCTAGGCTATAAATAGCCGCCCCCTACAACCACTAGCTGGTTGGCTGCTCCGAGAGAAACTGACACTTGTCATTTGAGAGCAACCCATCCTCCGAAGACTTTGAGCGAAAATCATCAAGTGAGGAAAAACCAAAAATCCAAAACCCAAACACCTACAAACCCCAAGTGATTGAGCATCACTGAAGATATTGATCCTGAGTGGATCCGACGCTTGTTATCTTTGAAGACTGTGCTTCTTCCAGACGGTTAGGCGTCATGGTCTAGAGCATCCAAGAGGAATTGTGGATCGCCGAGTGACCAAGTTTGTGAAGGTTTGGAAGTCGCCTGAAGACTTACCATGAGTGATTGGACGAGGTCTGTGTGACCTTAGTTCAAGAAGAATACGGTGAGGACTGGGTGTCTTGGACTAAGTGTCCTTGACTGGGTGTCCGGGACTGTGTGTCCTCGAGTTTAAATACTCAGCCGCTCCAACCAGACGTACAACTGAGACAGCAGTTGGAACTGGTCTACCAAATCATTGTCTTCACCAAGCTTACTGGTTCTATTTCCTCAACTCTTTCATTTCCTCATAAATGTGTTGTATGTTTGTTCATATCTGTGTTTGAAGACTTTGACTGAAGACTTTCTCAATTTCCTCAGTTCAATTTCTTCAGTCTATTTGTCTTCATCCTGTGTTATCCTGTGATTACGCTTCCTGTACTTTGTGCCTGTCTTCATTTCATCATGATGACTATCCTTATATTCTATTGTGTTTACTTTTGAGTACTTATTCCGCTGCTAGTAGTTCTTCGCGAAGGAATTTCCTCACCGGCAAATTCCTCAGTGAAGAATTTCATAAAAATCGCCTATTCACCCCCTCTAGTCGATATAACGCACTTTTAATTGGTATCAGAGCAAGGTACTCCCTTGTTCTGTGTGATTTTGGTTTAACCGCCTAGAGTTTTAGTTATGTCGACCGCAGGTATGATCAAGGTCTCTGCTGGGTGTCCTACCTTCGATGGGACGGACTACCCCTACTGGAGGAATAAGATACGAATGCATCTTGAAGCAATTGATAACGATCTCTGGTATGTTGTGGAAAATGGTGTTCCCTCAGTCACACCTTCTCTGAATGCTGCCGATGTGAAGAGATTCAAGCAACTCGACTCTCAAGCGAAGGATATCATATGTGGCCATCTGAGCCAAGGACAGTATGGCAGAGTGAGTGCTTTGGAAACAGCGAAACTTATCTGGGACAGGTTGTCCAAAGTGAATGAAGGAGTCTCAACTCAGCGTGACTCTCGAGTTGATGTTCTTTGCAATCTCTTCAACCGC